CGTCCCTTAGAAAGATTATAGTAGTACTATAGTGTTGGATATGTGATGTCCTGTAGTTGCTTGCCCAAGAAAATTAAATAATATAATCAATGTTCAATTATTACACTTTTATGCAGTTAAAATGCAGTTATTGTGTGGCTACTATAGGAACCAAGAAAGCTGCACCAGCTTGTGCATTTTAGATGGTATTAAATATTAATTACTTGGCTATAGACAAGTAGCTCCTGTTCGCTTATTTCTTGTAGTGTGTGCACCAATGCATGACTGGTATATATGCTGTGGTGCCAGATTGTATGAACTAGCTTGGTTGCATAACTATGATAGACATTTATCAAGTTTAATATATATTGTATATCATGTAGTCTGTTGAAATAAACAATATTAATCTCATTATCTATAGTGTAATTCACTTTCTTGCAGTCAACATTTTTTTAAGTAAAAGCTGTTAACGTTTTGTGCATGCACAGTCCCTGGTTGACAAAAAACAGTCATTTGCTCCCAAGATAAAATAAAGGCATTGTTCAGTAATTAAGTTATTGAATATTCATGTATGTGTTCCTGTTAATAAAACAACTTATAGGCTGCAGATTGTGAGCCAGTATTAAACATTCACATGCTGCTTGACCAAAAATGTGAACATTAAGGCATCGCAGCCCAACAGGATAAAGCCAGACAAGTGAACTGTTCCGAGATGAAATGGTGAGGCTGCAGGTAAAGACATTGTGAAGGACTTTGCATCCAGAACAGTTTGAGGGCTTTATCAGAATACCTTTTCACCACCAGACTTTCTCGCCCATATTTCTCTGCACTTTTTCTTAAATGCTTCAATATTTCTGGAAATGAACCCTAATTTTGGAGCCAAAAGAAAACATTTTCAGTTTTTACTCAAAAAATTTGGCTATTTTTTTTTTTTAAGAGGCCGTGATGTAACGCTAGATTAACCACAAGCAGTAAAAACATTGACATCAGTACTATTACCACCAATCATCTCATTCTGATTAGCATGAAATGGAAACCTTAAATCTAAGTTGATTTGACAGACACATCGATGACCACTGAATTACTCACTAGCACATTCAGCTGGTCATTGTATTCTTAACTATGAATGGATATACCAGTATACTTAATGGGCAACACAGACAAACATCACCATGACGACAAGTTAATGTTTCTTTCTGAAATGGGACTAACACATTCCTGCAGTATTACCTATAAATTACAAATTTTCAACTGAATTTGGCAATATTAGTGAGCAATTGGCAGGAATGAGGAATGAAAACTAAATGGGGGGGGGGGGGGCAAAATACAACTTGCATCTGTAAACAAGTATAATCCTGGTACAGCATTTAAATTAAATCGGCTGGCTCATCTCCTGCTCTGAACATGTTTAACTGACAAAAATAGTCTGCCATATTTGATCAAATGACAAAGATAATTTGAATGAATATGCAAGTCACCATACATGGTCTTCATGCGAGGTCCGAATGAGATCGATCAAAGCACGTTCAAGAAATAGCTCCAGACATGCAGACCCAAATTAATAGTCTATTTTCGGACTTCATGAACTAAAACGATAGGTGAACTGATCCACAAATTTTGACTGGATTTTTTTTTAACACGATTCACAGACCAAAAACTACTTTGTTGTAATTTAATATTAAATGCAATTTAGCAGATGTTTTAGGAACAAAATTATTGTCCACATTTAAAACCCTTATCAAGAAGGCAATCCCAAATATTTAAGGAGCTGTCAAATAAACTTGCAGGTTCCTGGGACTGTGATGATACATACAAGTCATTGTTAATGACAGTTCTCATTTGAATTAAAGAAAATGTTATTCATGCCAGAAATAAAGTAATATGCACCAAAAGAATACTTAATTTGGAATGAATAATTGGCAGAAATAATCAACAGAAATTCGATGCATTAAATTACTCTTCCAAAATCGTAATACATGGTCAGAAATTAAACAGAATATGCTATTCATGCATTTTTTTTTGTATCCAAACTGAATTTCATTTGTCCAGGCTTTCGTTTCAAGATACAAAACCTGATACGAATCATC